GAAATTCTGTTTGTATTGGAAGAGAAGGTGGTTGTAATTGGGAGACATTACTAAAACGTATTAATACATAATTCAGTCTAATTGATACAAATCTAAGAAGAGGTAGAAAAATAAATGTTGATTATTTACTTATTCATAATAAATGAAAGTTAATAGTCTAAATAAAATTTAATAATATAACAAACTATAGTTGAGAAGCATCACCATAATTATCAAAGAATTGATTAATGTGATGTACAAATGTTAAAAATAATTTCTTTTTAATTTTTGATTCTAAATATGTGTTAGCAATGATTCTTTTCTTTAATAAATTTAATTGAAGACACATTGATTGAAAATCATTTGCTGATAAAACTTCTTGATAATGTTCGTTTAATACAAAATTAATGTACGGAATTGCTATTATCGTTTGTTTAATTTTTGTTATATGGTCAGTATTTAAACAAAATATGACGTCTGATGTTGGGTTTTCAAGAGATAAAAGATCCTCAAGTCCAAAGTGTTCTTCTGATTTACTTGAATTACTCATGGTGCTTCGTTCTCAATAAATTATGAGTTCTTTTTGTTTATTTCTTTTTTTCATTTTACTATTTCTTCCTTTCTCCTTTCTATTACTTTAACTCATAGTTCTATTCCTCTACCAATTCTTTCACATTAAACACCAACTAAATTAGAACCATTCACTCACTTGGGTCACCACTAAAATCACTTCTTCATTTTTTTACAATCTCCTTATTTTCAATGGAATTTCACTTCAATTTATTGATTTTATTATACCAAAAAACAATTTATTTTATTTTGTTTTACAAAACAGTTTTAATTAGTTAATAATAAAATAGGAAAATAAATAACAATATTTCAAAGAAGAATCAAATCAGAAAAATGTTTTTTTATCAGTAAAACTACAGAAATTTCTAGAAATAAAATCTTATTTGAAGATATTTTTAAGCACAACTCTTTGAACTTCACATCATTCTCATGAGTTCATACATACACACACTACCAATAAACACTTCTTCAGAACCAGAAAAGGTAAAAAAGAAGGTTGTTAGAATATGGACAACAAGAGAAGAAATGTTGTTGATAGAAGGAATTAAACGATATGGAATTAATAATTGGGAAGAAGTTGCTTCTATGGTTCCAACTAGAACAAAGAAACAATGTAGAGAGCGTTATCTCAATAACAATGAATCAATCTATCATCGACCTTGGAGTCAAGAAGAGGACAATCTTATTCTTCAAAAAAGAAAAGAAATAGGAAATAAATGGACAATTATCGCAAGTTATTTGGAAGGAAGATCACCAAATGATGTAAAGAATCATTTCTTTGGAAGATTGCAAAAAGTCAATTGTATTAAAGAAGAAACAAACCTTCATACCACTAACATTATTCCAAGTGAACTTTCAACTCTTCAGAGTATATTTAAACCAGTAGAAC